ACTTTATTAAAAATTCTTTAATAAAAATTATATATAAAAAAGAAAGCTTAGTAGGGTAGTTGACTTGGCAAGTCTGTTTTTGAAAGGTGTTTTTTAAAAGGCAGTTGCATAACATTAGAGCACTACTTTGGTTGAGGCTGGTTTCTCTGGTTCCATTTAATTTTTGCCGTGGTTCATTAAAAATCTTAGCTTGGACTCAGAGTGACTCAGTGAACATACCTCTTTGTGAATTACTAGATTGCTGCTTTTTGTTTTTTTGTTTTTTTGTTTTTTTGCAGCTGTTACTTGGGGAAATTCAGGCTGTGGTGGGTAAGAACTCATAGCATGCATGGTACTTTAATTCCAGAGTTTTCTGCTATATATGTAATTAATTCTTTAAATGTGATTAGAGAACTCTCATTTGGCAATCTTGAAACTGAACATTTGATGTCATTCTAATGGTCTCCAGATGTTAAGTCAAGATGACAGTTTAGAAATGTAACCTTTATAGGTGCATATATTTGCTTTACTCCTTAGATATTACTTTTAACCCTTTTACCTTTCATTCATTTCTTATTTTACAAACACAGGCTAGGTATCTTCAGAATTATATATTTGGAACTTGTGTACACTATTAATGTGTTTGGTTGGCATTCTAATTATTCATTTATTGATAACTTTGACCTAAACAATCAGTTTAATACTGTGGGAAAGCAGCTGAGATGATACTGTTGCTCTTCTCAGAGTCACTGTCAGAAGCTGAACATAAACAGAAAGAACTTGAATGTATAAATTTGCACCCTAGAGAGAACTGTTGGGAGGAGTTTCCAAGCTGTTTCTATGTGTGTTAACTGAACTTTTATCCACAGCAGAAGAAAACACTGATTATATTAAGTTTATATCCATCTGTGGTAGCTACCTAGTATTTCTTTTGTATGACAATAATCTAGTTTGCATCATCCTCTTGCAGTTTTGAAATTAACCTGTAATTTAGTCTTCACCCCAAATGACAATAATTCAAATGACTCTGTGGGGTGCCAGAAGATGTTCTGTAAACAGGGCTCAGTGAAAGGGGATAAGGTAGAGATCCAACAAGCTAGGCTATTTACAATTTCATATGGACTGGAGTAAAATCACTATGTCTTCTACATTTGTAATTAATTTTGCATTAATCTTTACAAAATTTAAGCAACTTTTTAAAAACAATAAAGGGGAATGTTGAATAATTTTTAAAGAAAAAATAGTGCTTATGAAATTGTGTAACAGTCTTGTTTCATAATAAAATATGACATGCTGAATTTTCAATCTCAAAACATTCTGTAGTTATCTAATACAACAAATATCAGTAATTAACTGCTAGAAGTTGCTTTTGAAGATACCTCTAACATTTCTATTAATTTTCACTAAATTTTGAATTAATCTACTTAAATACACCATCGTCATCATTGTAAATTAGACCAATGGTGTTTCTGTTACATTATGAGCATTATCAGGATTCACAGTTAATAAGGAAAAATATGCTTAGTTCCTATGTGTCAGCTTATTACACTATGCTGCTTAGTTAAGATCCAAGTTCATAGTTAGCATCCGAGTGTTGATATTTCTGTATGGCAGAACTACCAGATTATGATTTTGTAGTACATTAATTGGTTAAAATGTTTAAGTTGTCTTTTAAATTTATAATCAGTAAATGAATGAAATTAGGTTTTAATAACGACAGTAGATGAATGACCAGAATTGTAAAATAGGTGCATTACAGGAGATAGTATTAGAAAAGAAAATTGTGTAGTGTGAACATTTTGAAAAGAACTATTTTTGTATGAATTACTCTATGATATTCAAATTACTGTTTTAAGATTTTTTGTTTTTTCCCCTTCCTGCTAAAATCTCTTGGTGGATTTTCTTTTAAGGGATGACTTACCAACTGCTGTGGAAGTTTTATTTGACTGCTATAGGAAATATGGTGCTCTTCCTAGACTTCATGATATCTTGTGCGGATTAATAGAGAAGGGAGACACTGAAACAGTGAAGAAAGGTTAGTCGCTTCTATTAACCATTTCTGCTTTCTTCTGTTGTTTCAGAATGCAGCTTTTTTACCAAATATAGTGTTGGGAATGTTTGTTATTACAGGTCCAAATAATATTCTATAATAATAGGAAACATTTTACTGTATTTTTGAACAAGTTATCCTAGGTCTCCTAATATCTCTATATATTACATAGCCTTTGTCATAAAAATAATTGATATAGATGATTTCTAATTGATTTGTGACCATTTAGTCATTGCTTAATTTTGTGCTTTTCTAGCTGTGATTGTGCTTTGTTTTATCAATGTAAGAGACCTGTAAATGGCATTTGAATAAAAAACTGCAAGTGTCCATATAACTTACCCTATCTATCTCTTGAGTGTTCCTTGACATGACTATTTACTTCACCACCTTTCTTCTGTTGTTAATGGTTAGCCTAATGAGTCTTTTAATAATTCTTACAGTTGTTGACTTTCTCACTGAAGAAAGAAGACAAATGGGAATGATGTTTGATCTCTTCTTTGCCTTTGTGGCAACTGGCAAATATAAAGAAGCCAAGAAGATCATTGAGGTGGGAGTATATCTAGAGTACCCTAATTATACAGCTATTTAGAGTGTTAATTGGAATATATTTAAACTTTTTAACCATTAATTAGTTTTGTTTTAATTAACATTAAATAGAGCTCAAATCTAATCAGGTAAGGGTGGTGGGAAGCCAGGGGAGACCTTGGGCAGCTTTTTAAAATATGTATAATTATGGTTAGAAATAAAATAATCTCCTGTATATTCAAATTGTTTCTTTACTTTGTTAAATTACCTATTAAATATCCACATAATATTTGCATATAAATATTACATTGTGAAGCAAATTAAACCAGCATTCCTGGGTGTAAAATTGCTAATCCTCTTTCCTAACAAATTCTTTGTTCTTTAAAGCACTGGAATTTAATTTGCTGTAGACTATGCTTAGATTTATTTGTAATGTTTGTCTAATCAGCCAAACAGCAGTGTCTGCTGTAGTTTGGTCTTTCATTTAGCACTTTTTTTCCTCCCTCTATAGTAAGCAGCTTATAGAGAGTGGTAGGTGACAAACTTGGTCTATGAAGGATTAGTATATTTTAACAAGTCTTGGTTGAAATTTTGCTTATTGAAATGGGCAGTCAAAAGGGCCATCACAGAGCTTGTGCTTACTGGCTACTAAATCAATTGCATTTCCCCTTGCCCCCAACTCAATATTAGTTTACTAGTTGCACATCAGTGAGAGGAAAGGTGAGACGTTAATCTTTGGAAAATGTGAAATTTAGCTTTTCAGTTGCAAACAGGAAAAAAAAACATCTCTAAGGAATATTTTTAATTATAATGTGGTTTGTTAATAATTGCCCAAAAAGAACACATGACTTTATCTAAATTCATGTTAATTTTACTCAAAGCTACATTATCTGATTGACAAGTTTAGTTTTGAATTGTCAAAAAAATTACAAATTAAAGGATTGATGAAAGTTTAACCTACCTTTTAAGATAGGTAAGAGGATTATTTCCCCTCCTCCCAATTTATGATAGGGAGAAAGAGGAAGATTATTTTTCCTGGCTTTAAAAATTTCCCAAAACTTTCTTCTCTAATCTTGATGGTTGTACATTATCTTAATTAAGAGTTGCTAAGAAGCAACAGTGGGCAGACAGTTGCCCTCATATCCTACTTTACTGGTAAGCTTCCTGGATGAATCTGGCTGACCACTGTGTCATGCTGAGTACTGGAACAGACAGACCTGTTGCTTCTTAGAGAATACTGTTTCCTCTTGCTATTTCATAAATGCTTGTTTGTATCATTACCACTTGGGTGCCCTATTCTTCATATGTCTAAATCTGATATGTCTGTGTTGTGGTCTGTATAAGAAGTGTCTACCCTTATTGTGTTTGTGCTTTTTTTCTTCCTTTCCTTTTGACAGTCACTATAGTGTACAATTTGTCAGCTTTCTTTAATCCCATTTAATTTTTTTCTTTCACTTAGGAATTAGCAAGTAGAGTCTCAACAGATCACAAACATGTGCAAAAACATTTATTTTCCCTAAATTCCTTCTTATTGGTTTATCAGAAGAAAAAGTAAACATTTGGCATTCTTACCTTTCCTTTCATGTTCCTTGAATTAAGATTTCTTAGTCCTTACCTAGTCTTGACAGACTGTTGTAAGAGGTTTTTAATATAGACTGTGGTATTTTATTCATTTTTCTTTTAATTTTATTCAGTGTTCTATGCATAATTCATTTATTATACACACAAACACACACATAAACACACACATATACATACACATACATACGGTATCTTCTAAGAAGGTTTCCAACATATATATACAAAGCATAGGTTATTTATGCTAAGTAGAATACATACATACATTATTGTGAAACATCCAGAGTTACTTTTTGTCAGATGGGAGGTATCTAAATTTGAAATATAAATAAATAAATACAGGTAGTCCTCACCTAATGTCCACTTGTTCAGCGATTGTTAGAAGTTATGATGGCATTGAACAAAGAGACTTACAATCGGTCCTCATAGTCATGGTCATTGCAACATCCCTGCAGTCTCATGATCGCATTTGAGCGCTTGGCAGCTAGCTTGCAATTATGACAGTCACAGCACCCTGCGGTCACATGATCACCATCTGCAACCTACACTGCTGGCTTCCAACAAGCAAAGTCAATGGGAAAGCTGGTAGGAAGTTGCAAATGGTGATTACATGATGTCACACCTAACAAACGAGTGAGATTCGCTTAATGATGGCAACCAAAATTGCTGCAACTGCCATTGTAAGTTGGCACAGTCATATGACATTGCACTTTACAGCCACATTGCTTAGCAATGGAGTTGCTAGTCCCAATTACTGTCATTAAGTGAGGACTATCTGTATTTTAAGCAAGCACTCTTTGTTTGAAAAAAGTTCTACACTGGAATTATTTAAGAATTAAATTAAAATCTGCCAGTCAGCATCTTGGCTGGATGAGAGAAAGAAGTATGTGAATCTGTTGCTTTCTCACTTGCAGACCAGCTGCTTATGATAGTTCACTATGGCCTGTGGTTTTTATTCTTCTCTGCCCTTTCCTCTAAATATCACAGTTATTTTTGTTTTAACTATTACTTGTATAACAGAAACTCTGGCTAATTCCAGATTTTTGGAGCAAAATTTCACTGCATCATCTCTCATTTTGACCACCAACATCACACCCCACAAATGTTATGTATATATTGATCTGCTTAAGTGGAAGTTTTTCTACTCTTTCCCAAATCTTGTCTTTGTATTAGTAGAACTGCTTTTGAATTATTTTCCCTAGATATAGCAGATATCTGGCAAAATGATTTGCTGAATAGGTTAGTATCCCTCATTTCCATTCAAATATGTATGCAAGATAGCCAAGAACTGCAATATATCTTTACACACATATACATACATACACACACATAAGCACATACAACAGTTTCCATTATTACATAAATGATTTACGGGAGTGTTGTCTTTGCTGTTTCTTAAGGTTGTCTGGCAGTTGCGTTTCAGAATAATGTTGATTTTTTTTAAAAAAAGTTATAGAAGTGTTGACTTGAGATTTTGTGTTTCTACAAATTAGAGCTAGATATTATGGAAACGTTTTAAATGGGTGACATACTGTAGGAAGCCATGCCAGTCTGTGAATCTGTCATGGAAGTACAAAGGGTGTCCAGACACCCAAACGAAAAAATTGTTCTAGGAAGTTGATAAGCGGAAGAGGAAGAAGATACATTAGCTTAGTTTGTAGTAAAAGATTTCCCTGTAGGAGAGAGAAGGAGATCTTTGTTGGAAAAGTTGAATGGTTAGTAAACCTAAGATGGATCTAGACAGCATGCACTGTTGAAGATTTATTGATTTAGTATCCCAAAATGGATTGAATAGTTTTGATCTATATCAGAAGTAATAATTTAAGTGGAGCTTGAAGCCTCCTGAAGTAGAACAGGGCACAATCCAGAGAAGTATGCTGAAGAAGGGTGGGCATCAGCATGAGAATCTACCCAGCACAAAGACTGTTTGGGGAATTGGAAGAGTGAGTCTGGAAGGACCACGTTTTAGAGCCAGACATTGAGCCAGGCCAGCCTAATAGAAAATGCCAGAGTCAGCTATTTACTTATCTCTAAGCAG